GGCGACGGCGGCCCGGGCGTTTTCCATGAGGCCCGTCACCAGGATCTGGGCACCGGGCTTGTTCCGCTCAGGGAGCTGGATCGTCACCCCGTGCCTCTGGGCGACATGACGGATTCGGAATCCGCCCTTGCCGATGGCCTTGCCGATCCGCCCGGGCTCGACGCAGACCGGAATCGTCCCCTTCAGCTCCTCTCGGCGAATTCTTCATTACGGCGGCGCCTCTCTGCTACCTGGAGTTGTATGGAGGCCACGGCTTTTTCGGCTGCGCCCAGAGGCCCCTCTACCACCAGGGGCCATTCAGGGTGCTCGCGGGAGTGGGTGCGGAGCTTAACCCCGAACTCCTCCTGAACCTTGGAGGCGTGGCATCCGCCTTTTCCTATGGCGATGCCGATGTCTTCGGGAAGGATGTCCACCGGGAGGACCACGCGCAGTTGGAACTCCTCCAACTCCTTGATGGCCCCGCGCACATTGGCGGACAGGCCAGATACGACGATGGGCGATTCCCTGTCCTTAGGAACGTTAACCCGGACGCAGTACGTTTCCCTGATGTAACTGATGCGGGCGCCGCCCTTGCCGATGGCCTCGCCGTAGTGCGCTGGCGCGATGTCAGGGGAAGCGCTTTCAGAGCTGCGGACCTGTCCTTCGATGTCCGCGAGCTTTTTGAGCATCAGCGCACGGTCCTTTTCCTTGCCGATTAAGGCACAGGATTCCGAGGATCGTCCTCCCTCAACGGCATCTTCAGCCAAATCCCGGGGGCCTGCTTGGTCTTCAGGAGTGGCTGCAGGTCCACAGGTATTTGCAAAGGCATGCGCAGGGGCCTGTTGCCGCAAATGCAGGCTTCCATGTGCTGAATAAAGGCCTGAGCGGCCTCTTGCTTGCCCTTGACGAGGAAGGGCGCCACGAGGTTGCCGGCGTGGGGCCTGACGAGCTTCACGCCGAAATTCTCAGCGGCCTTGCCAGCCTGCTGGAGGAATCGCCGGCGGTCCTCCTAAGCTACATACATAGGCAGGCTAACGCCAGCGTTAGCCTGCTTGGGGACGGTCTGGCCGGATGGTTCTTTCACAACCGGCTTCGGTCGGTAAGACATGGGTTCTTCGATAGTGAATCCGAAGAGCTCGGCAATCTCGGCGGCAAAGTTTGCGTTATAAGTAGTGTTTAGGTTCAGAGAGGCGGTCACGGGCTCCTCTTGTTGCACTGTAGTTGATGGGAGTCTGTCATTTCCATTTATCTTGGGACCCTCCTTAGATGACTAAGGAGGATTTGTTGTTTTTTTTTTTTTTTTTTCTTTTTTTTCTTCTTTCCCTTATGCATTTCTTCTGTCACCTTTTCCAATTCTGATGGGAAAGGAAGGTCATTCGACCTTCTATTGCAGCTGTGATGGGGAAGAAGGAAGGTCAAATGACCCTTCTATTGCAATGTCCTTCTATTGCATGATGAAGGGACAGGAATGAAGGCAGAAGGAAGGTCAAATGACCTTCTATTGCTGGCTGTGATGGGGAAGAAGGAAGGTCAAATGACCCTTCTATTGCTGGCTGTGATGGGGGGAAAAGGAAGGTCAAATGACCCTTCTATTGCAGGCTGTGATGGGGGAAGAAGGAAGGTCAAATGACCCTTCTATTGCTGGCTGTGATGGGGAAGAAGGAAGGTCAAATGACCCTTGCTGGCTGTGATGGGGAAGAAGGAAGGTCAAATGACCTTCTATTGCTGGCTGTGATGGGGAAGAAGGAAGGTCAAATGACCCTTCTATTGCAGGCTGTGATGGGGAAGAAGGAAGGTCAAATGACCCTTCTATTGCTGGCTGTGATGGGGAAGAAGGAAGGTCAAATGCCTTCTATTGCTGGCTGTGATGGGGAAGAAGAAGGTCAAATGACCCTTCTATTGCAGGCTGTGATGAAGGTCAAATGACCCTTCTATTGCTGGCTGTGATGGGGGAAAAGGAAGGTCAAATGACCCTTCTATTGCTGGCTGTGATGGGGAAGAAGGAAGGTCAAATGACCCTTCTATTGCCCTGTGCAAGGCTGTGATGGGGAGAAGGAAGGTCAAATGATTGCTGCAAATGACCCTTCTATTGCAAGGTCATGACTGGCTGTGATGGGGAAGAAGGAAGGTCAAATGACCCTTCTTTGCGGCTGTGATGGGAAGAAGGAAGGTTAAATGACCTTCTATTGCTGGCTGTGATGGGGAAGAAGAAGGTCAAATGCTATTGCAGGCTGTGATGGGGAAGAGGAAGGTCAAATGCTGCTGGCTGTGGCCGAGGCGCGTCGTCGGATGCCGAGGACGACGAGCCCGGCGACAATGAATGAGGCGGCGACTGCGACGACCGCTGTCAGTGCCATCGGCGTCTTTTGCTCCTTGATGCTCTCAGCGAGTGCCCGGAGGTTCTGTAGTGCCTCCGCATTGCACTCGCGCTGCCGCCGAAGGTCGACGAGTCGCGGGGTGGGCCACGGCTGCTTCTCCCTCAGCGGGCACTCGATGGAGGGACCGGCGGCGAGGATCAAGCGGGGGATGCGGCCGGACAGGTCTCTTATTTTTGCAACCTGCTTGGACACGGCGGCTTCTTCTTGCCGTATAAGACGTCTGTATTGTATGAAAAAAGGACTAACAAATGCCGCGCACATTAGGGCGATCGATATTTTTTAATTCGCCATAGCTCCTAACAAGGCGCCCGGGATCCCAAGTGCAGCAAGGTAAGGAATTACATGAATGGATTGCATGTGCGAGGCGTTTATGCATGTATGTGTGTATGTGCGTATGCGTGTATGTGCGTTTGTGTATGTTGTGTGTGTGTGTGTGTGTGTGTCCGTTTGTGGCAGCATGAGTGTTTTATTCGTGTGCGTATGTGTGTGCGTGTGTCGGTGTTTCCCCTCCAAACCCATTGCTTTCGATATCCGTCTTTCACATATTTATTTCATTATTTTTGGTAATGAAATAATTGTAGACATTTGGAAATATAATGGCGTATGAACTAATGTCATTTCTTTTCCATTAATGTCATTAATAATATTTCTTTTCCAAATAACATATCAAAAGTTTACTATTATCTAAATAGCGGATCCAGGTGATATAAGGCGAAGTGAGAGAGAGAGTAGCTGCTTAGAATAATGCAGAGCCATATGTTAATATACATCCTTCATATATGAATAAAGGATATTTCCGTCTGACGATTATTAAATATGAATAAGTTCCAATAATGTTCAGTTTTTTATATATAGAAAATATGATAAGGTATTGAAATAAAACGATGTGATAAAATTTCTTGATAATAATTTTCGAAATAATATACGATAATTTATTTCTTAAGGCAGGTTTCCAATATATCCATCAAATTAACAAGTAAACAGGAATAAAAGCAATCCCTGCTTCTCTCTCCATGTATACTTCAGTCATTATTGCACTTCGCCGGATTTCCGTAGTTTCCCACCTCCTCACATTCGAACTAGCCTAACTATGCCTTATTTGTTTGAAGGTGGGCCTCCTTTCAGGGCAAGAAGGGCATGATCTCACCGAGTCAGGACTAGCGAGGCGTCACCGCTTTTGTTGCTGGCTGTACTGTACAAATACGCCAGCCTTGAATTTGCAATGGATTGCTAAACCAGATGGAAACTGGAGAAAAGAAAGTCAAACTTTCGTGCTTTCACAGATGGTAAAACTGAACTGGAAAATGACCAATGCTCTTGACACCCTCGGACATGCGTGACTCTGCTTGTGGCAAAGACACTAGAGACACTCAAGAGTTTACACATTTCTTTATACTGGGATGTTGGACCAAGAAGTCAGTAGATCAATTGGCTCAGTGGCAGGAACCATTAATTCTCTTAATAAGAATATTTAGAAATGCTGGTATTTGAGCAGAATGACCAATACACGTGTCTTTAATGCCCTTATATTACTGTTTACTACTTAGCAGTGATTATCTTGTGTTTTAGAGATTCGTCTTAATGCCGTCTGCAACAGGTCCTTGTGTCGATTCATGGAGCACATATGATAGGGCTGCGCATTCAATCAATGACAAGAGCAATGTAGGACTTGTCACTTGCACAGTCCAAGACTGCCAGTATTACTGACACTTTGCTCGATTCCTTAAGGAGGACTCCATTCATGTCTCTTTTCGAGACAATACTTGTCGGAGGGGGGCTCTGCAGCAACCAACTAAGTAATTGCTCGAACAGATCAGTCAGATGCCTTGGGGAAGTAGAGATGGGCTGTGGACATGCCTGGCAATTTCCCAAGAGGGACCCATGCGGCAGGACGGTAGCAATGTGCCCTCAACTTCATCCACATTCTGATACCTCGAACTTTGCCGTTATTGAAATGCCTAGAGTTCTCTGAATGCTAAACAGAATGTGGTTTACCTACTACCATGCCTGATGAAGATCAGGGCACCAGGAACCAGTGATCTTGTCTCTAGGACCTGAGAAAGTCCTAAATGTGGAGAATGGTTTTGCTGCTGGTTGCGACATAGACCATTTCTTTCACATCAGGTCTACATATGTCAGGAGGGTATCCATTGGAATAATACATATGAAACCATTGTCATTATGTGTTTGGTCTGCTGGAGATGGCTCCAGCCCCCCCCCCCCCTGCATGTGGTGCCTATCACAGATCGCAAAAATACCATGCCCTATCTTCTCTGATAGATTCATTTCAGCTTCCCTCCCTGCTTTCTTCCCTTCATTCATCCATCCATCCCTTTCTTTCTTTACTTCCCTTTCTGACATTTGTGTAGCTGTAGTAGTGCGATAATTCAATTGGGGAGATAGTAAATAACTGAATCTAATATTCTCTCTCTCCCTCTCCCTCCCTCCTCTCTCTCTCTCTCTCTCTCTCTCTCTCTCTCTCTCTCTCTCTCTCTCTCTCTCTCTCTCTCTCTCTCTCTCTCTCTCTCTCTCTCTCTCTCTCTCTCTTGCTTCGAGGGGCGTCCTTAAAGGCAAGAGCAGCAAAGAGCACCGTCTCTCCCTCCTCCCCAAGTTCCCCAAGGTCTCAAAATAAATTGTGTACAATACATTTTGTCAAAAACTTTATGCAGAATCTTAGTAACATTATACAGCTCAACATGTTTTGATTTTTTTTCGGTTACATTATGATGCGCTTAGACATACTTTATTTGTGGTAAAAAATCTAGCTGAAAATGATAGGAGTGATAACTTCTTACTAAACCCGTTCACTGCCAAAATTTGATAGGATATTTCTTTGGATGAGTAGTATGCAACAACCAATGTAACCTGAAATTCACTGCCTAAACAAAGTATCCCTTCATTATAAGAACACATTAAAATTGGCATGAAGGTGGATATGTCAGTGCAGTTGCATATATGCTGCACAAAGGCCATGTCATGTGAACATTTCATTGAGGTTCAGTGAAGTGCTTAAAACTAATTCTAGTGCAGTTTATGACTAAATGGCCATTCAATACTTAAAATTGTTTAAGGTTCGCGGCACTCTTCACCATTTCTATTTTGACTTCCTGTAAAATTCAGTAAAACTACGCTTGTTTATCCCTCAACACGAGACCGTACATCACGCACGAACCCTGAACACATTTGAGAGAGTACCCTTCCCAAAGGTGACATTTATCCTTCCGCGTTTCTATGCGTTTTAGCGACTCCCCAGGGGCTCACATCGGAGCGCCCCTTATGATCTGTGACGTTGTACTCGTCCTCGACGTCTCCGCTAATATCCCCGAAGGTAATAACTTCGTTATCTGCTTCCCAGTGGTAGTCGTAGTCCATACGTTCGCCTTGGTCCTCGCCCGAGTTGACCCTTGGTGTCACGCCTTTGTCATCGCCGTCGGGTGTGGGCTCTGACTTTCCAGCGCCTTTGCCTGTGTCTTCTGTGTCTGTGGGAGTACCGGAGGGCGTGATAAAACCCTTTTTCCGTCGAATCTTCATCTCCACGGAGTTGAGGACGAGTACATGGTCCTGGTTGCTCCACCACCGAATCTCAGGGCCCTTGCTCAGTCTGAAGGAGAGAGAGAGAAAGGAGCGCACACTGACAACAAGCTCATATTGCTCTGCGCAGGTTCATTACAATGGGTGGAGCCATGACAATGATGTCACGCTTGGAAGAAACTGGCAGCAAAACCTTAACAGCTTGCCGAAATGTTTTTTCGTTAACGTTAAGGACTGGATTTGTGTTACAGAAGAGGCACTTGATATCCATACCTATCCTACGTCTTGCACACATACATTCTCTCTCTCCCTCTCTCTCTCTCTCTCTCTCTCTCTCTCTCTCTCTCTCTCTCTCTCTCTCTCTCTCTCTCTCTCTCTCTCTCTCTCTCTCTCTCTCTCTCTCGCTGTGTGCGTGTTTGTGTGCTTGTACATGAATATAGTATAAATAGTCAGATATATGCATACATATATATAAAAAGTCATTTTACACAAGCTCAATTTACAGAAAGGTGAGACAACAATTTCGAAACTGCCAATAAGCACTTGTGTGTGTGTTTTAAATATAAATATAAATGTATATAAATATATACATCTATAATCATATATATTTATACGTTACACACACACACACACACACACACATATATATGTATGTATATGGACACATGGTCCAAGATCGTGTACATGTTCGGAGGCTGGAGCTGGCGTGTGTTTGGGCCTTCTAAAACCTTTGCCTTTGAGTATTGGTCAACCAGAATCCCACTGCGAATGAAGTCAAGAATTTCTGTTATGAGAGCAATAAGTGGATGACCGAAAGGAGTACGATCATTCTATTTAAATGCAGTCTTTTCATTTGTGGGCTATACTTGTTTCTCTAGTCACTGACAAACCTAGATTCAGGAACAACTTGGGCTTATCCAAAATTAAATCGCCAGGATCATTTTAGGATCCCTCCCGCCTCGATAAACTAAAATGCTAAAATAAAATGGAGAGACTCCGTCACTGAAAGCTTCACATAACAGTATAATGATGATAATCATTAAAAATAAAAATGATTAAGCAAGCGGAATCTATTGGCATTCTCCTATAAATAGTAAACAGAACACGGGACTGACTGCGATGGTATGGGCTGTGCCCAATAAGGTTTATATAGACATTGGTACCAAATGGTGCTTGTATATTTGTCTTGTAATGAAATGAATATTTATTGTTAAATATTTATTGTATATTATTTTTAGAGTGAGATTGATGTAGTCATACACCTGACATTGAGTGCTTGCGGGGACTACAGCTTAGCAGCTCCTATTGGCGAGCCGCCACTGATTCTTGGCCACATTAGCACTAGAGGAAGTGAGATTGCTGGCAAACTAGCCAAGAGCTTTTACGACGCAGAATCATTTCACTGTGTCTGGAAGGGCATGCACAACCATTGCCAATGTTGGCCGCTGTTGTGAGCTTTATGTGTGTTGGATGTTACCTTGTTTCTTGTTTGCAGGAATGTGATTGTTTTCTCAGACCGAGAACCTTATATTAGTGTATGAGGGCAAGATAGTACGTTATTTTAAGAACAATATAATGCCGTGTTGAGCACATTAAAATTGAAAGGAAAATTCCAACGGAAGCACTGATGAACCTTACCTCTCAGGTTCGTCTGGGTAGAGGCCGTTGAGGTGGGCGGCGTAACACGCGTGGAACCACCAGCCGCCCTCCTTCTCGCGGGCGCAGCTCTTGTTCCGCGCTGTGTCCTGCCGAAAAAAATCCATTAAGTATTCACACTCTTCCTGTCATTTGTACACACACACACACACACACACACACACACACACACACACACACACACACACACACACACACACACACACACACACACACACAAGGACCCGAAGAAAGTATAACAAATAATAATATAGATTTTCGGAAAGGGCGTAACCCACCTGGTCGCGGTCGAACGTCGAAAACTTCCTCCCAGAGTGAAACACGGACAGAGCATCGCCAGCGTTGCCCGAGTAGTGCGTGGCGGTCAAACGGTAGCCATCGCTCTCTGGTCCTACGCGGAATACCTGCCAAGAGGTGGTATCTGGTATTAATGTAAAATTGAGGATGATTCATAATTATGTTTTTGCAGTTTTTTGGTGTCATTGCCACTACAAATGACCATTCGCCTTTATGTCTCTTATTATAAAAGGACACATTAAAAAAAAGAAAAAAAAATAAAGAAATTATATATATATATATATATATATATATATATATATATATATATTCTGATTATATGGATCTCTTGAGTTTTACCGAAACCGGTTGATTCCTAGAGGAAAAAATGTTTCTAAAATTTTGTTTTATAAGACTGATTATCACTGAACTGAAAATCACACACACACACACACACACACACACACACCACACACACACACACACACACACACACACACACACACACACACACACACACACACACACACACACACACACACCACACAACAAAGAAAGAGACAGACACACACACACAAAGACAGACAGACAGAGAGAGCGAGAGAAGGAGACAGAGAGAAACAGAAACAAAAGGCAGAACCCTGTCCCTCACCCCGTAAACCGCATACTTGGACCCGATCTCGAAGTCCCTCATGTCGACCCGCAATTCGTACTCCGAACTGTGCGTGAGTTGGTGAAGCGCTTCGAGTCCGAGCCAGAACTCGCTGCTCAGTTCGCCGAAGCCCTGGCGGTAGTCGGTCCACGGCCGGTTGAAGTCCTCGTGGGTGTCCTTCGGAATCCTACGCATTGGTTTGGGATTTGGGGATTTTTTATAGTTCATTGCTATTATTAACGTTATTGTTATAATAATTATCAGTGTTGTTGTTCTTATCATCATCGTTATCATTATTGTTATCATCATCACCATCATTAACATAATTATTATTATCAATATTCTATTATTATTATTATAATCATGTCATTTATTATTATTATTGTTATTATTATCAGTATTATTATTATTATCGTTATTATTATCAGTATTATTATTAGTATTGATATCATTATTTTTAATAATTATTATTATTATCATTATTGTTACAATCATTTTCAATTTCATAATCGTCATTATTACTACTACTGCAACTACAACTACTATAATTATTACCCTTATTATTACTATTATTGCTCCTACTACTACTACTACTATTTTTCACCATTATGATTTTTGTTTTATTATTGTTGACATCATTTTTATCATTGTTATTATTATTGTTTATGTTCTTTTGTGATTATAATGATTATTATTACCATCATCATTATTATCATTACCATCATTATTATTATTATTATTATCAATATTATCTATATTATCATTATCATCCACCTCTGACCTTCTCTGGATGACCGTCCACCCGCCTCCATCCGTCTCCATGTCGCAGAACACGGGGAATGTGAAGGGGAACAGCGTGTAGACTCCGCTTGCCTGAAGAAAATGGAAGAGAAATAAAAGAAGATATAGGGCAGGGGAGAGGGAGAAGGAGAGGGAGGGATGGGAGGATGCAGGGATATATATATATGTGTGTGTGTGTGTGTGTGTGTGTGTTGTGTGTGTGTGTGTGTGTGTGTGTGTGTGGTGTGTGTGTGTGTGTGTGTGTGTGTGTGTGTGTGTGTGTGCGTGTTGTGTGTTCTGTTTGTGAGAGAGTGTTTAAGGGTGAGTGTGCGTATGAGTGAGTGTGTGTGAATGAGCGTGTGTGTATGTGTGGAAGAGAGAGAGTGTGTGTGTAGTTATGTGTAAGTGTTTAAGTACATATGCATATCAGATAAAACGGGTTAACAATCCAACTCTCTCTCTCTCTCTCTCTCTCTCTCTTCGTCTCTCTCTCTCTCTCTCTCTCTCTCTCTCTCTCTCTCTCTCTCTCTCTCTCTCCTCTCTCTCTTCTCCTTCCCTCCTTTCCACCTTCCCACCTTCCCACCTTCCCTCCTTTCCTCCTTCCCTTCCTTCCCTCCTCTCCTCTCCCCTCCTTCCTCTCCTCTCCCTCTCTCCTCTCCTCTCCCTCCCTCTCCCTCCCTCCCTCCCTCCCTCTCCCTCTCTCTCTCTCTCCTCCCTCCCTCTCTCTCCCTCCCTCCCTCCCTCTCTCTCCCTCCCTTCCTCCCTCTCTCTCCCTCCTCCCTCCCTCCCCCTCCCTCTCCTCCCTTCTACCTCCCTCCCTCCCTCCCTCCCTCTCCGTCCCTCCCCTCCCTCCCTCCCTCCCTCCCTCCTCCCTCCTCTCTCTCTCTCTCTCTCTCTCTCTCTCTCTCTCTCTCTCTCTCTCTCTCTCTCTCTCTCTCTCTCTCTCTCTCCCTCCCTCCTCCCTCCCTCCCTCCCTCCCTCACTTTCTCCTCACACACAACCACACACGCACACATAAACATAGCAGATATACGTGTTCGTGCAACATGCTTCACAAAGACTTTCATATACTCTCTTCAAGGCATATAGTTCGTCCTCACCTTTAGGCCAGCTTGTCTGAGTGTTGAGCAGTCGTGTACAACGGGAGGTGGCGGTGGTAGAACCTTTTCTGTGGGTATAGGTAGTTCAAATTAATGTTTTGTTGTTGTTTGTGTTCAGATTTTCTTTGTTGTTCCCTATTTACGGATTATCTATTTTTTTTTTTTTGCTATTATTACTTCTACTACTACTAATATCATCATTATTGTTATAGTCATTATTATTGCTATTATTCATATTTTATTATCATTATTGATATTATTACTATTATTATTATTATCATTATCATTCAAATATCATTCTTGCTGTTGTTATTATCGTTATCATTATTATCATTATTAACATTATTGTTGTTGATATAATATTAATAACAATAATAATAATGATAATAATGATATTATTAATAACAACAACAAAGATGATACTATTGTTATTATTATTATGATTATAATTATTATCATTATTATTAGTATCATCATCATAATGACAACGATAATTATTATGGTCGTTACTGTTGTCATTAAAATCATCACGATAATAATAATTAATATAATCTTTATTATCATAATAATGATAAAAAATAATCATTATCTTCTTTATTGTTATTATTATATCATTGTTATCATAACTGTTATTACTGCCACAAAAATAATGATAAAATTATTATCATCTTTATCATTATTATTTTTAGTAGTAGTAGAAATTATTATTATCATGAAATATATTATTATCATTATCATTATCATAATTACTACCATTAATTGTATGACTATCATTGTCATTCTTATTACTAGTATCATCATCAATATCTGACCACGGTATGTTAGAATATAGGGTATAGGTATATGTCTTTCTCCGCCATGATGATGGATATTTCATTACGGGTATAGTGAATCCTTTTTCATTTCTTCCTACTCTCTCCAACCCTTTTCCTTGCTCTATCTTTTCTGTCCGCTCCTCTCTCTCTCTCTCTCTCTCTCTCTCTCTCTCTCTCTCTCTCTCTCTCTCTCTCTCTTCTCTCTCTCTCTCTCTCTCTCTCTCTCTCTCTCTCCTCTTCTCCTCTCTCTCCTCCTCTCTCTCTCTCCTCTCTCTCTCTCTCTCTCTTCTCTCTCCTCTCTCTCCTTCTCTTCCTCTTCTCTTCTATCTCCCTCCTCTCTCTTCTTTCTTCTCCTTCTCTCTCTTCTTCTCTCTCTTCTCTCTCCTCTTCT